TTGTCTAATGCATTCTCTAATAGAAATAGGATTTGCCTATTGGCTATATAAGCAATGTCGAGATGTGGCATTAGCTTTGAGAGAGATTAGAGAGTTTAAGGTTTTGAGTGATTTTCCTTAAGCTAATAAGAGAGTTATTCTTATTAATCTTTGATCTTTGAGTTCTTAAGTTCTTGTTACAAACAACAATTGGTATCAAAGCCTCAGAACTTTGAGAATCTGAGAAGCAAACCATGGGAGACATTGTTGCAGCAAACGCAGCAGCATCAAGACCCAAAGAAGGAGGGGGACCGTCTTCAATCACATGCCCGATGCTAAACACAACCAACTACACAGTCTGGGCTATGAGAATGAAAGTAATGCTCAAAGTCCATAAAGTTTGGGAAGTTATTGAAGCAGAAACAGATCCACCTGACGGCGACAAAAACAACATGGCTATAGCTCTGCTATTCCAATCAATACCTGAGACACTCATCTTACAAGTCGGAGAGCTCGACACAGCAAAGAAGGTTTGGGAATCCATAAAAGCAAGACATGTAAGTGCTGAGCGAGTGAAGGAAGCTAGATTACAGACGCTAATGGCCGAGTTTGACCGACTCAAGATGAAGGATACAGAGAAAATTGATGACTTTGCAGGAAAGTTATCAGAGATCTCCTTGAAATCGGCTGCCCTAGGAGTAAGCATTGAAGAGTCAAAGCTTGTCAAGAAATTCCTCAAGAGTTTACTGCGAAAGAAATATATACATATTGTTGCTTCTCTTGAACAAGTATTGGATCTCAATACCACCAGCTTTGAAGATATTATTGGGAGATTAAAAGCATACGAAGAACGAATCTATGAAGAAGAAGATGTTCAAGAGGATCAAAGCAAGCTGATGTACCTGAATGAGGAAACACAGAGCAATCAAGCAAGTCGAGAGTACAACAGAGAGTACAGAGGCAGAGGTCGAGGAGGAAGAAACAGGGGACGTGGTCGCGGACGCTCGAATGGAGGAAGAGACACGTCCAAGATTATGTGTTTTCGATGCGACAAGATGGGACATTATGCATCAGTATGTCCTGATAGGTTATTTAAACTGCAGTAAACACAGGAAGCCGAGGGCAACGATACACAAGACGCGGATGAACTTATGATACATGAAGTGGTATTTCGGAACGAGAAAAAGGTTATACCAAGTAAGTATGAGAAAACCGCCAAGGAATCAGACGTATGGTACCTCGATAACGGAGCTAGCAACCACATGACAGGAGATAGGAGATACTTTGATAAAATCGACGAGTCTATTACTGGGAAAGTAAGGTTTGGAGATGACTCGCGGATAGACATCAAGGGCAAAGGCTCAATCTCCTTCATTGACATGAATGGAAAGGCACGGAAAATGTATGACGTCTACTGCATTCCTGATTTAAAAAGCAACATTATCAGTCTGGGACAAGCTACTGAGTCAGGTTGTGACATAAGAATGAGAGGAGGAGTCTTGACGATGCATGATTCAGAAGGAAAACTGCTTGTTAAGGCAGAAAGAGCTAAAAACAGACTCTACAAAGTACACATGGGACTACGGGATAACACATGTCTACACATTGATGCAACAAGCGAGTCGAGTAAATGGCACGCTAGGTTGGGACATATTAATATCGAAACAATGATCCAGAAGGAGCTGGTTCGAGGAGTACCCCGCATTACGATCGAGAAAGAAATCTGTGGTTCATGTTTACTTGGTAAACAATCGCGGCAAGTATTCCCGCAAGCTTCCTCCTATAGAGCGACTAAAAATCTTGAACTTATACATGGAGATTTGTGTGGCCCGATCACACCAAGTACAGCCGCTGGGAATAAGTATATTCTCGTACTTATAGATGATCATTCGCGTTATATGTGGCCTTCTGCTTAAAGAGAAGGGAGAGGCATTTAATAAGTTCAAGAACTTTAAGCGATTAGTTGAACAGGATTCAGGGGAGAGTATAGGAACATTCAGAACAGATAGAGGAGGAGAATTTGTGTCTCAAGAATTTAACTCCTTCTGTGAAGAAGCTGGCATTAAACGTCATCTCACAGCTCCATACACTCCACAGCAGAACGGGGTGGTTGAGAGACGCAATAGAACTTTATTGGAGATGAATCGAAGTATCATGAAACACATGTATATGCCAAACTATCTATGGGGAGAGGCAGTTAGGCATTCGACATATCTTTTGAATAGAGTGGGTACTAGGACGTTAAAGGACAAAACTCCGTATGAAGTTTTTAAGGGAAAGAAGCCGACGATTAGTCATCTTAGGATCTTTGGCTGTATCAGTTTTGCAAAAATTGATAAACCACATCTAAAGAAACTAGATGACAGATCGAGAGTACTTGTTCATCTTGGAATAGAGCCTGGATCGAAGGCTTATCGACTTCTAGATCCAACCTCTCGGAAAATAATAGTAAGTAGAGATGTTATATTCGACGAAAATAAGGGGTGGAACTGGAATCAAGAGCGGGATGAAGATTTTACTGTAAATTTTGGGGATTTCGGAAATCGAGTCATCCGAGAAGAAGAAGAGAACGTCGAGATGGAGAGAACTACTCTCGATGAGTCTGGTACACATATCAAGACTGGAGATATGTCGAGTCAGGGAGTAGGCAGAGAACCCGTTTATCAACAATTAGAGGATCGCGATGTACCTGGGCTCGCGAAACAGAGTCCAGCAAAACAGAGTCCCGAAAAACAGAGCCCTGCGAAACAGAGTACCGTGGTACCCTCCCTAAGGCGCACCGAAAGACAAAGGAATTTACCATCCTACCTTGAGGATTATGTACTGATTGCGGAAGAAGAAGGTGAGATGTTATTACTGAGCATAAACAATGAGCCAAGAAACTTCTATGAAGCAAAAGACTCGAGAGAATGGACTCTCGCTGCAGAAGATGAAATATGCTCCATCGAGAAGAACAACACATGGAAATTGGTTGACTTACCGGATGGAGTTAAGCCAATTGGCTTAAAATGGGTATTCAAGCTTAAGAGAAATTCTGACGGAAGTATAAACAAGTACAAGGCTCGGTTAGTCGCGAAGGGGTACGTACAGAAATACGGAGTTGATTTTGAAGAAGTCTTCGCTCCAGTAGCCCGGATAGAGTCTATATGACTCCTAATTAATCTTACAGCTTCCAACGGATGGAAGATACATCACCTCGATGTAAAAATGGCGTTTCTGCATGGTGAGTTAAAGGAGACTGTCTATGTCACACAACCGGAGGGTTTTGTGGTTAAAGGTCAAGAGGATAAGGTCTACAAGCTTAACAAAGCATTGTATGGACTCCGGCAAGCACCGAGGGCGTGGAATAACAAGCTCAATCAGATTCTATTGGGTTTTCAGTTCAAGAAATGCTCAAAGGAACCTTCTGTATATCGAAAGGAGATAAGTGGAGATCTTCTTGTCGTAGCAATATACGTTGATGACTTGTTTGTCACGGGAACAAGCATGAGAGTCATCGATGAGTTTAAAGCAGAGATGGCTTCTAAGTTTGAGATGAGTGATCTCGGTAGGCTAACGTACTATCTCGGGATCGAGGTGTGTCAACATGATGGTGGAATAGTTCTAAGCCAGAAGAGGTATGCTCAAAAGATTCTGGAAGAAGCGGGTACGAAGGGATGCAATCCGGTGCATATACCAATGGATTCGGGTCTGAAACTATCAAAATCAGAAGATGAGAAAGAGATAGATGCTACTGGTTTCAGAAGAAACATTGGATGCCTACGTTACCTTCTTCATACAAGGCCTGATTTGTCCTACTGTGTTGGAGTTTTGAGTCGTTACATGCAGAGTCCAAGGGAATCGCATGGAGCTGCTATGAAGCAATGTCTACGGTATCTACAAGGTACTACTACTCTTGGACTAACTTGTGTGCGATCAAACTCTAGGATCCCTAAGCTGATAGGCTATAGCGATAGTAGCCATAATGTCGATCCGGACGATGGAAAGAGTACGACAGGACATATCTTCTATCTCGGTAGTAGTCCGATTACCTGGTGCTCACAGAAACAGGACACTGTCGTATTATCATCCTGTGAAGCTGAGTTTATGGCAGGTACAGAAGCTGCGAGACAAGCAATCTGGCTTAAAGACTTGCTTAGTGAAGTCACTGACGTTCCGTCTGAAAGGGTTGTTATTCGCATAGATAACAAATCTGCTATTGCACTTACAAAGAACCCGGTCTTTCATGGCAGAAGTAAGCACATTCACACTCGATACCACTTCATACGAGAATGTGTCGAAGATGGTCAAATCGAGGTCGAACATATTCCTGGAAATCAGCAGAAGGCGGATATACTAACTAAGGCACTAGGAAGGATTAAATTCAGGGAAATAAGGGACCTTATCGGCATTCAAGACTTGAAGGAAATCGACTTCAAGCTTAAAGGAGAGAATGTTGAACTAAGCTTGAAATCATATCAAAACTAGGATACCTAAAGTGTTTAGGATTAGAGATGTTCTTAGGAGTTGTCTAATGCATTCTCTAATAGAAATAGGATTTGTTTATTGGCTATATAAGCAATGTCGAGATGTGGCATTAGCTTTGAGAGAGATTAAAGAGTTTAAGGTTTTGAGTGATTTTCCTTAAGCTAATAAGAGAGTTATTCTTATTAATCTTTAATATTTGAGTTCTTAAATTCTTGTTACAAACAACAACCTGCGCGTCAGATCCTAGTTTTATTTTAAAAGAAGTTAATCTGTCCCAATTCATTTTTCATCAACGTAGAAATGGACAGAGTATATCGAGTTATCACTTTCTCCATTGCATGAGGAAATTTTATAAGTAGGATATTAGGGGGACCAGTAAAATCGAAAATAAACTATTGTATTATTCCCCAATCCAAAGCTACGACGACGAAGACTTAAATATAGTGCCACGTGTCCGTTACTCATAACTTCTTGTAAGACTCTCTTAAACCGGCAACATCCGGTAACCGGTCATCCTTTCTCCTTCTCTCTCTCTGTCAATCAAAAGTCACTTATATAAAGAAGAGAATCGAATCGAGTAATGGGGTTTTCATTTAATAATTATCAAATTTTCTTATATAAATCTGGTTTTTCCCCTCTTTTTGTAAGGTAGCTAGGGTTTAGTGATTTTTATTGCGTATAATGAAAAATGGTGAAGAAGGAGCAGAAGAGAAGAAGGAAGTAGTTTCTCTTGAATCTCTCAGTAAGAAAATGGATGATTTTGCAAAAGCTAGAGATTGGGAGAAGTATCACAGTCCAAGGAATCTCCTCTTAGCCATGGTATATTTTTTTTACTTCATGTACTTTTATTTATCTGTAAATCTCAAATTAATCTCTTGTCTTTGTTCGATTTTGAATAACTATCTATGAATCGCATGAAAATTAAAACCAACTAATTTGATGGTCTGATTAACAAAAAGGTAGCTTCTTTTGCCTTCCCATCTCATAGATCTTAGAGTTGGTTTTCATGTCTGTGTTTTCTCTTGATCTTGTGTTCCAATTTGATAATTTTGTTTCCATGAAAATTTTGATATCTTTGTATGTTTTTTCTACTTTTCTTATTCTCTCTATGTAAATAAAAAACCCAAAATAAAAATGGTTGGTTTCATCGGAAAAATTGTGGCTTTGTACCAAATTGGACTTGAATTGTAAGTGGAAGACTCGTAAGTGTGACTATGAGAAGAAGACAAATCAATTTCAGATTAAAATAACCAACGAGAAAAACATGTGCCTTTTTTGTTGCTTTCCTGAGTAAGTTCGACTTTGATTTGGCCACAAAAAGTTAGATACAGAAGGTCAAAACTTTTTGTCCTACTAACAAATTAAGCACTAGTTTCTTGTGTGTTTGTTGCTTCAGATATGATTTTAGAGAGGTCAAAACTTTGTGTCCTACAAACCAAGTCAAGACTAGTTTCTTGTGTGTTTGTTGCTTTATGAATGATTTTGAATAAGGGAGTTTGAAAATCTGCAGGTGGGTGAAGTGGGAGAGCTATCAGAGATATTCCAATGGAAAGGGGAAGTAGCAAGAGGACTTCCAGATTGGGAAGAAGAAGAGAAAGTGCATCTTGGAGAAGAGTTATCAGATGTTTTGCTGTATTTGGTGAGGCTTTCTGATGCGTGTGGTGTCGATTTAGGCAAAGCTGCTCTGCGCAAACTCGAGCTCAATGCCATTAAGTACCCAGTGAAACAGACTGATTACTGTGTTGGTGAACATTCAAGCGGCAATGTTAAGTTGAAAGAAGAAAATTAATTTCTGTATTTTCTTAGTGTGCTTTTGTGAGTTGTCTCTTGCATTGTACAACTTTTCCATTGGTCTCTGTATTTGATTTCCCTGTCTTCGCACTTTTAACATAAGAGTTCACCTTTTTTTTTATATCATGAATTGGTAGATTACATAAATTGCTCATGATTATAGCCACATGATTCAACAGAGACCCGAACCTTTGAGAGTTTCCTTGCGTCTCATAACTATTATGTCAAGCAAAGGATGAAAATTACCATTGAATTAATGAAAGTACAATATTTTAGTTTGTTGAAACCATTTGGAGAAAAAAAATAGTAATCATAACAACATAGGAAAAGGAAAACTTAGAGAATTACTAACATTAGTTGTTGGGATCGTCTATCATTAAGGAAAAAAAAAAGAATTAGAAGAAAGCAAAGCAGTTTATGTGCTTCTTATGATGAAGCAGTCTAGAATATGTTTAAAGAAATCTGAACAGATACTCTTCTCCTCGTTCGTCTTCCTTCCTTCACCTGCTTCGGTAGATTGTGATTTGTGGAGAATTTTGCAGCTTTAAAGCGTTCGTTTCATTCTTAATTAATTACGTTTAAGCTCCCTCTGTTCATCTCCATATCTCTAGAATCACAGTTACATATCGAAAATCTCTGTATCGCAAGAACATCATCAACATAGAAATATCGAAAACCTAGATGCCCAATGAGAGATTCCATATTAAAAAGATGGAAATATCCATGCCTACACTACACCTTCAAAGACCAAATGTTGTTTGTTTGTCTTCAGAATCTACACTACTTCTCTAATCATACAACTAGCAGAGCTTTGGGGTTTATGAGAAGATTAAGATCTCACCAAAATGGTTGTACGCATTGTGCCTTGCATTCTATTCTCTGTTTTTGTTTCCTTTTGTAAGTTGTCTCTTGATTCGTACAACTTTTTTCCATTGGTCTCTCTGTATTTGCTTTCCCTATCTTTCACTGAATATTGACATAAGAGTTGGCCTTTTCTATATCATGATTCAGCTGTGCGGTTACCTTGCTTTGCAAGTTTTGTGTCTCTGCTGAACAGAGTATTTGCGAGTTTGTCTGCAACTATGTAATTCCTGAAACCGTATGATATGCACTTGGAGAAAAATTAGTAAGCAAAAATTAGTAAAACGGAAGAAAATATTAGAATTAAAAACCAAACAGGAAAAAGGAATAAAAGTTGTGCTTAGAGGAAAAGAAAAGACTGTTATGACTTTTATAAATTAACTTAAATTGAGGAGAGTAAGCATAATTAAGAATAAATGTGATATATAGTAAAACCCTAACCAAAAACAATCAAACGTTGACGATGTCGGAACTTCCTGAGGATTTGATAGAAGAGATACTCTATCGTGTTCCTGCTTTACCTCTGACTCGGTTACGATATACTTGCAAACGATGGAACCGTTTGTTCAACGATAAGAGATTCATAGTAGAGCACTCCGATAAAGCCCCAAAGCAGTTTTTGACTCTCATGTTGAAGGAGTCTAGGATCTGTTTGATGCGCATCAATCAACGTAGATTTCAACCTGTAAAGGTCAAAAGTGAACTTAGCCTAATCGACCCTTGTTCTAGTTTCTTAGATCAAGCCGTGATACGTAGAGTCTCTCACTGCGACGGCTTATTGTTATGTGTCTGCGTCACCAAGGAGAAAAGTACTGAGAGACTCGTGGTATGGAACCCGTGTACTGGTCAAACCAGGTGGATCAGGATCAATCGTTTCAAGCAAAACGTTACATATGCTCTCGGATCCTACCAAGACGAAAAGTCTAACGAGAATAGCTACAAAATACTGAGCCACAGGGATAATGGGAAAATATTCGAAATTTATGACATGAACTCTAATTCATGGAGGATTCTTGATGTCCCTTTCGACTTACCTTTTTTATGGAGTTCTGATTGTGGGGTGCCTTTGAAGGGAAAGACTTTCTGGATTGCTAGTGATATTATCAAAGAGTTTAGCGGAAGAAGATGGATTTATTAATTATCACGCTAACGTATATATACGAGTACAATGTAAAACCTTAAAGCTTCTATATACAAAGACTAATGTGACCTTAGTATAGATTAGGAAACAGATATATTCACAACACTCCCCCTCAAGCTGGAGCATGAAGGTCACAAATGCACAGCTTGCTAAGAAGGTGAGACAAAGAAGCACGACCGAGTGCCTTTGTAAACATATCGGCCGGTTGTTCGGAGGTGCGAATATAAGCAGTCTTGATCAAACCATCGGTGATGGCATCCCGAGTAAAATGACAGTCATTCTCAATATCCTTCGTCCGTTTGTGGAAAACGGGATTCGCCGCTATATGCATTGCCGCCTGATTATCGGAATAAAAGGTAATAGGACTATCTTGAGAAAGCTCAAAGAAACTCAGAAGTCGGCGAAACCATTTGATCTCACTTACAGTGTCCGCCATGGCTCGATACTCTGCTTCAGCGGATGAGCGAGAGACAACCTTATGCTTGATTGTTTGCCAAGAAACAGGGGAACGACCAAGGACCATCACATAACCTGTAAGTGAGCGTCGCGTTAGGGGACAAGCAGACCAGTCAGCATCGGAAAATGCTTCGAGGGTGAGATCAGGAGTGGCACGAAACAACAAGCCTTGTCCCGGAGCACCCTTGAGGAAACGAACAACACGAATTGCAGCTTCCCAATGAGACTGTCGAGGATTATGCATAAACTGGGACAGAATGTGGACAGCATAACAAAGTTCCGGACGAGTAATCGTAAGATAGATGAGACGACCTACCACACGTCGATATCGTTCTGGTTCAGGATATAAATCATCTGTAGCAAGTGCAAGACGGTGGTTCTGTTCAATGGGAACTACCGAAGGGCGACAAGCCAAAAGGCCACATTCAGTGATGATGTCTAAACAGTATTTGCGCTGACATAGAAAAATCCCATCTTGAGAGCGTGCAATTTCCAGATCAAGAAAATAACGAAGGTGTCCCAAATCTTTCATGTGAAAACAGTTGCTCAAATACTCTTTGAAACTTGCAATAGCGGTAGGATCATTGCCTCCAATAACCAGATCATCAATATAAACCAACACATAGATGATACTATCACCGGCACGAAGTGAGAAGAGAGACGTGTCAGCGGAGGATTGTTTGAAACCATACTGAATAAGTGAAGTACGGAATGTATCAAACCAGCAACGAGGGGTTTGCTTAAGTCCATATAGAGACTTATGCAGCTTGCACACTTTGTTAGGCGATCCTTTGGCAAAACCCGGTGGAAGTGTCATGTATACTTCTTCGTCCAAAGTGCCGTGAAGAAAAGCATTATGTACATCCATCTGATGAAGTTCCCACTTCCGAGCTGCAGCAATGCGAAGAAAAGTACGAACAGTCGTTAACTTAGACACAGGAGCAAAGGTCTCTGTGTAATCAATGCTTTTTTTTTGACGATTTCCCAAAGCGACCATACGAGCCTTATAACGTTCAATAGTACCATCAGCATTGTGTTTGATCTTGTAAATCCACTTGCACCCAATAGCCTTCTTTCCTGGAAGAAGATCGGTAATAGTCCAAGTTGCATTGTCTTCCAATGCAGTGTTTTCTTCAGACATTGCATCTCTTCATTCCTCAAATGTCATAGCTCGTGTAAACGACGATGGTTCTTCAGCAGCAGTGATTGCAGCTAAATAAGCGCAATAACCAGCTGAAAGACGATCAGAAACAAGATGGTCAGCAATAGGATAAGTCGTACCTGAGGAACTGGAGGATGCTGAAGACGGGGAGTGTGATGGTTTTTGACGATTTTTTGCAGTGTAGTGTTCGTACGGGGCAAGTAAAACGGATGTTGTCTTAACCCGCTTGCCTCGTCCTAGTGGATCAGTGTCAACTATCACCGGAGATGGTTCCACAGCAATAGTTGGAGATGATGTAGAAGCAACGCCAACATCCTCAGAAGAAGAAGACGGTTCTGGTGGTTCTGATTCTGGCAAGAGATCATGATAACTCCCCCTTTCTGGGCAACTCCCCCTTTCCTCAATAACCGGAATAGGACATTCCTCATCATTATCGACAAACAGAGGTGTATGTGAAGCAATAGGAACTTCACCTGATGTATCTTTTACGAGAAAAGGAAACACTTTCTCATTGAAGACTACATCTCGTGAGACAAAATATTCTTCACGATCCAAGTCATAGACTTTCCAACCTTTTTGACCATAGGAGTATCCCAAAAAAACACATCGTGAAGAGCGTTCATCAAACTTGTCTCGTCGTCGAGTACCTTTGTGGGCATAGCAAAGACATCCAAACGTGCGAATCTGATCGAAAGATGGTTTCTTGTTGAACAGAATCTCGTAAGGAGTACGACCACCAAGAACAGAAGAGGGTGTGCGATTGATGAGATACGCCGAAGTAAGTACACAGTCTCCCCAGAATTCGATTGGAAGAGAAGCCTGAAACCGGAGAGATCTCGCAACATTTAAAATGTGCCTGTGCTTGCGCTCGACTCGACCATTCTATTGAGGAGTACCAACACAAGACGTCTGATGTTGTATCCCTTGATCAGCAAAGAAAGACTTGAGACACATAAATTCTGTTCCGTTGTCACTTCGAACAATAAGTACCTTCTTATCAAATTGTCGTTCAGCCATAGGACAGAAGTTTTGAATAATACGACCAACTTCACTCTTTGCTCGAAGCAAATGAACCCAAACAGCTCTAGAACTATCATCAACAACAGTGAGAAAGTAAACTGATCCGCAAGTAGCAGGTGTTTTGTATGGTCCCCAGACATCACAATGGATTAACTCAAAAACTTCAGCAGCTTTATTATTACTCTCCGGGAATGAAAAACTAGGTTGTTTCGCACGGACACAAACGTCACATGGAACTTTAGAGTTTGAACTATCACTACTCAAATCAATAACACCAGACAAATGAGAAAGCAAAGATGGCGATGGATGCCCCAGACGACGATGCCAAAGTCCTGGAGAAGCCATTGCAGCAACATTAACTTGAAAATCAAAAACGTCCCGGAAGAAGTATAAACCATCACACTCTCTACCCGCTCCAATCAGCATCCTCGTAGCACGGTCCTGCAAGTAACAAATCTTATCAGTGAATATTGCTAAGCATGGTTTCTCCTTTAACAAAGATGAAACGGACAACAATGTCGCTTGTAAATTAGGTATATAGAGAACGCGTGCAAGTGTAACAG